AAATGGGAAGTTGAATGGAACACAAACAAAAGGACATGAATAAATTAATTAAAGAAGTACAGGGACCGGAAATATAATTCAAGGGACCAAAGCTGGACAAAATGTGTCAAGTTAACTATTCTTTTTCTCCACAATTTTAATATATATATATATATATATATATATATATATAATAATAGTTGTCGTTCAAATAATAATAATGATAATAATAATAATAATAATAATAATAATTTTAAACTAAAATATAGTTTTGGTACCTATTGTTTGGCCAAAATCGCACGTTTGGTCATAGTGTTGATTTTTTGTCAAGTGATCCATGTGGAATCTTTTTGTAACATCGGTGGTTCATGGGACTGTTACCCTCACTTGAGCTCCGTTACTAGCACTATAAATCACATATGCCACTCACTGGCATCACCACGATAAAACACAACAGCTTTGCACCACCCGATGACCCTATATGCCGCCTCTCATCACCAACATCACTTTATACTCCGCCTGTCGCTAACTCTCATCACTACCGTCACCCTATACACTATCTTTAGCCACTACCACTACCCTTTACAAGCCACTTTATACCCTTCTCTCCTCGAACCATCACCATCATGACCTATCGAAACCTTATACTTTGCCTCGACCACCATAGACGATTTGCCTACTTCCACCTACCATCACAACAAAAATTTTGGCTCGTCAAATATTACATGCTCCAATGGCGAGATATCATCTTGGTTTCCCTCTATTCTCAGGTAATTTCCTTGAGTTTTTGCTTTTGTTAATTATTTTCTTTGAGCCTTGGTCCAGCCCTACAGTTCTTGAATATTTGGAGAAGACTTAATCACTTCATGTAAGCTAGGTCAGCTCCTCAACCAATTATCCCTAACTTTTCTAGAAAATGGAGGCCGACGAAAAATTGATCCCTATCTGAGACCTGAGATTGTGAACTCTAATCTTTTCCAGAAGCACCATGTTCTTCTCTACTTTTTATCTAATTATTGTGCTTTTTATTTTGTCTATTTCATTTCATTTTCGTTAGTATTTTGTATTCTTAACAACATCAATAAGAAGACGAGAAAGTCCATTTTACATTGTTGGTATGAAGCGAACCTCATTTATGAATCATATAATTTCTTTTGTATATAAAGCTTCAAATTTCTAGAAAGTAAGATTAGTTTATCATAATCATTTCTTACTTAGTAATAATTATTTATTTATTTTGATTCATTTCTTTTAGGTGTAAAAATGCAATTGAAAAGAAGATGACTGATGATCGTGAACTAAAAAGATTGTTACGTGCATCTAACTTCTTAATGTTTGATTGGGGGTGTAATGGTGGCACAAACAGAGGGAACACGAAGGAACGTGATCAACGAGAGAGAGAGAGAGGGAGAGAGAGAGAGAGAGAGAGAGAGAGAGAGAGAGAGAGAAAGGGGGGAGAGAGAGAGAGAAAGAGAAGGAAAGAAAGGGTTGAGACATTTGTGACCTAGAAGTCACACTGAATCAGGAGCAACGTCAGCCAAGCGTACGACGATTTCTCCAAAAAACTTTATGTTCCTTCTTTTCTTTCCTAATTTATGTCGAGTGTGCTTCCTTTTCTTCTTTCCTTTCATGATCAAAAATTAATGAAGCATCAGCTTCACGAGAATTCTAGACAAATTATTCTTGTTGTCTTGTTTGTTCTTTCACCTTCAGATTATACTTCCAAACAGCCTCGAGACCATATCCATTACCTAATCCTAAACCTCACACAACTTAATTCCAAGATGCTTGTTCTTTCACCTTTAGATTATGCTTGCAAACATCCTCGAGACCATATCCCCTACCTAATCATAAACCTCACATAAATTAATTCCAAGATGCATGTTCTTCTTTTCTCTTCTTGTTTTCACATAATTCTGGTTGCTTTTTTATTAACCTAAATATTGTATGCGAACCCTTCAGCTTTGTGTGCCGAAGTTTTTGCCAAAAGACCCATTTTGTAGCAGCCATGTAACCCATGGTTTTGTACAATTTATATAACTAGATATTATGAGTAATGTTTCTTACTACTATTAACTACATCTAGGTAGCCTTACTTTTATCTAAAATAGTGAATAAAAGGGTGTTTTGGGTTAATAGGTACATATGTATAAGTATACATGCATGTATTTGAAGGATGTAAAACAATTGCCTACTAAAGTATATATGAGTCTATGTAGATGTAAAAATATGGTAGAAAGTGTAACGTCCCATAAATAAGACCCACAAATTTCATTTTTAAGTTAATAAAACCGGAATTCCCAAAACATCATCATATAAATCCAAATAAATCAATTGTATCAACCACCATTTCTTATCGAGTAAATCAAGAAAATGCAGAACGAGGTAGTGTGTGCTCTGCAATCATCTCGAGCTCTTCCATTTGAAAATCGATATACCTGAAACATAAACTGAAAACCGTAAGCACAAAGCTTAGTGAGTTCCCCAAGATACCACATACCAAACATAATAAATCACATATTGGGCCCCCGCCCGGTATCAAGTCTCACTCGGCTTCGGGCCCCGCTCGGTTTACAGATCTATCAATCACCAGGCCCCGCCTGACATCGGGCCTCGCTTGATACATATAATCATATAAACATATAATCATACTAGCACATGTGATAATCACAAAGACAATAGCATACCATACAATCATTGAGCCCCGCCCGGCATCGGGCCTTGCCGGGTAGCAAAAAAACACATATTGATAACTAGCATACAATATACTCATCAGGCCCCACCTGGTATCGGGCCTAGTCCGGTAAACATACCATTACATAACATATGCAAGAGTCACGCAGACATCTAGCGTCCTAACATATAAATCATGGGCCGATATTGGTGCCTTCGACCCGCTAAACTCAGTGAAGAGACTCATCTCGCACTGCCGAATCACCCTGATAAATCCCTGGCTGCTGGTCCTACAAATCCCTGAGCTAACAATATCAAATAACATCCAATTAATAATTGAATTCCAATCCATCACTAACTGTCCATAAATAGGGTAAATGACCATTTTACCCCTTCTCTTAGTTTGGACCCAAACTTAGGCCCAAACCTCTAATCCAAAAGACCCAATTACCAAATAATCACACAAGGCCCAAACATAGCCCAATTTTTCAAATTGGGCCCAAATCCCATTGTAGGCCTTCTCGAAATAATTATCAGCCCAAAGCCTGATGGGCCAACAAATCCGAAAACATCTAAGCCCAAACCGAAGCCCAAACACCGAAGTCAAATCATGCTGAGTATGCGGGGCATACTCAGTTGTACACTAAGCGTACACGCTAAATGGCTTGTACGCCGTACATACAGACTTGTATGCCCAACGTTCTCACCCATTAAGCCAAAACCCTCTTTAAGCACTTAATGCTTAAGACTAAAAGTCCAAACCACAGATCTAATCCCTAATAAACATCTAGAACCATAAAGTCACTGACTTAGTGACTTTGCATGCCCCAAAAGGACCCAACCTCAAGATATAGCACTTTACTTTCACTAAATGGACATAATCTCATGCATGGGTGATTCTAAACCCTAAAGGTGCCAACTTTATGGACTTTGAACC